GAATTCCTTTGATATAAGCGAATGTTCTTGCAATTTTGGAATCTCCTTATTAAAATTTTAGCTCTGCATAAAGGATTTTTCTTTTATTAATTTTTTTAACATTTTTTTTGTAAAATTGAGATAGCTTTCGTTTGAGCAATATTGAAGGTGATTGCTTGTTTTGTACCTAAAGTTGGAGGAGGTTTCACTTTGCACAACGTAGCAGTCAAGCTATGTCTCTGGTCATATATACAAGGCATGTCTATACATTTGCAAATAGAGTTTTAGCCGTGCAAGTTAGTCAAGGGTTTTTCCTTTAATTTTCTTTTTCTTTTTCTTCTTTGAGGATTTTTTTTNAATTTGACCACGGACATCATTAACTAATGCCAAGTGAGCAAAAACAAAGACCAAATGGTGAAGGATTTGCAGTTAATAATCCTTTGACTATTTTATTTATTTAGTTTTGGGAGTATTAAGAACTTTTTGCTGTATTTTATTATGACTCTATTGATGGTACTAATATATCGTCTCTTATCGTCTTCTTGAGCCGAGGGTCTCCTGGAAATAGCCTTTCTGCCCTCTGGATAGGAGTAGAGTCGGCGTACACATTATCCTTCCCAGACCTCACTAGTGGAATTACACTAGGTTGTTGCTGTTGAGTATTAAGAACTTTTTCTTTTTCAGATTGGGGATGGGGAGTTTGAAGATCTTTACAGCTCTTTGGCAAGCCAGAGTTATTTATTTATCTCTTCTTTTTTTTGACAAGAAGACCATGATTACCACTTGGGTAAAGGATTAATGGCATTCTAGGACTGGTTGACCAACATTAGTGTTATAATATATACCCATTATTATTGAATTCCTCCATCTTTAATCAAATTGCCTAAAGTTTAAGCCTTCAAAAATAAAAAACCTTTGTGTACAAAACGCCTACTCGACATAAATTTAAATTTAAACGTTCAAATACCAAATGGTTAAACAAGAAAAGAAATCTTGGTTGAACCAAAGTAAGAGTCCTCTGTTAGGTACTTTTAAGTTTAACTACTTCCATAGGAAAGAGATTATAGTTAGTCATTCGTGGGTAAAGACCTGCCTCTTCAGAATAACTTGNATATATATATATATATATATATTATCTATTTTGCTTGATTCCTATTATCTCACGAAATTCAGTCATAAAGATCAAGTTAGTAAGAATATAAAAATGGGGAGCATTAAATGTTTTTTTTTCCCAAACTTTTACAATGGAATTTAATCTAATCTATTATTTCTTTCCACTATTAAAAAAAAGACTAAAAATCAGTCAACTAAACCTTGTTACATATGAGGTCAACATTCCCCATAAAGGTCGTACCAAAGTACACTTGTTGCTACCATAACTAAACCTCCTCCTAACTCCACTCAACTTATGAAAATGCACCTCGTGAGCTCATGTTCTTGATTTGAGAGTTAATTTCGCATTATGATCACATGAATTTTATCCGTTGTATCAACAGTGTCACAAAATTAGCTACCAGAATTTTTTGAAAAATTATATGTAATTAGATGATTTTAATGATATGAAAAATAGTTTGATAACTTTACTGATATAATTCTGGGCGGAGCCTTTCCAATATAGTCGATCCTTGAATGATTTCAGGTCGGAAGCCCAAAAACCAAGGGACAACCACTTCAAACCTGATCGAGACCACGGTTATCGGGACAAAGGCAAACAAATTGCTATACCAGACCGCAAGTCCAAAGAAGACAACGAGCGTAATTGGCGCGACAGGTACACTCAAAAGAAGAGGGCGGTTAATCCGCGCAATGCTTGCTACCTCTGCAAAGACCCTAGTCATAGCTTCAAGGATTGCCCTAATTTTAAGAGACTGGGAGCCTTGATTGCAGCCGAGCAGAGGCAAACAGATGATAGAGTCGAAGCCGAAAGCCTAGACGAGGAGGAAGCTGAACAACCGCCAGATCTAGCTCATCTTGACAACTTGATATTGGGTGCCGTTGTGATAAAGGAACCTGCTTTGAAGCAGGTTGCCCAAAGAAAACCTGACCTTGCCAAAATGGGTCGTGCGTTAGACAACGTGGCGATAGGCAAGGGCCCTCAGATGAGGAAGAAAGGATCCCTATTCGTGGATGCCAAGCTGAATGGACAGCATGTTTGCATCATGGTGGACACCGGTGCAACACACAATTCTGTGACTAAAGAAAAGGCTAAGTCACTCGACCTTGCATTCAATCCCGACAGTGCCGTGTTAAAGACGGTAAACTCCAAACCCACCAACATATTTGGAGTTGCTCGCAACGTACAGCTCAACTTGGGAGCTTGGTTAGGGAGCGTGAACTTCGTTGTCGCTCCCATGGATGCGTTCAGACACCCATTATTCTTACTAGTAAACAATAACCTGTGATTTTCCATAGAGCCCCTATGTAAGGAAGAGTAAAATATAAAATAGGAAATGCTTTTCAAAGAACTAATAAAAACATCAAACATGGACTGGTTTAGACTCGTTAATCCAAGATCCTTAAACCAAGTAGGTGAAGCTAAGAAATCTTGGATTAGATAAGCTGCTTGAGCGCACAAAAAAGAAAGAAAGTCAAGACCTCAAATAACCAAGAGGAATAAGGAAATGCAGACAACTTCTCTGCCAATAATGAATGAATATATTAGAACATTTTTCCAAAATTTGAATCTTGGAAGGAGGGGAAGCTAATCCTACAGCCTGCATATTGATACATTACTATTGCTAAAGAACCTATCCCTATCTTCTCCTATGCTTTCTGTACAATCAATTTCGTGGTAGGTTCCCATCAAAAACTTATACAGCAGGGAACCCCTTTTTCTATGTTACAATAAAAAGAATCAACTTTGAATCTAGATACACTGCCTAGGCTTTATACAAGCTGATGTAACACTTCTAATTTACCGTTGACATGGCGTCATGGCGGTCAATGGTCAACGTTGTCATTGTGGCAACTACATTTTTTGTGCCACCGAGTCCATCATGTTCGCTCCATAATTGCATATCCAAATCCGCGGTCTTGATTGCAGCATCTGCTTAGTCATGTAGCAAATCTCTCCAGGTGGATAGCAATCCTGCCAATAATAAAATTAAGGGGATTGATTTAGGGCGCAACTGGTTGCTTGCATCATCCAAGAGCTCCGACAGTGATGTGTCGGGTTCAGCTTCCTATCTGCAAAGCATTTCACTGCACTTCCAGGGGTTCACAAGCCTCAATATTCTTTCTTGAACTCAAAGAATGCCACAGCGCCTGCGTTAATTTAGGAGGCTTTTGGTCTGTCTTTGGAAGATATCCTCGGTTAACATGGTTAACCAACAGGCACGGATTGTTCGACGCCCAATATTCACTGAAACATCCCATTCACTTGACACCCTTCTTTGTCAAATTAATTCCTTTTGCATTCTCCATTTCAGCCTCCTTCTGAGCTTTCTTCCTTTCTAATTCAGCCTGCTTCAAGTTCTCTTCGTGGGCCTTGCGGAACAGTCTCACAAAATTTAAGAGGGTTGCAGTGACTGTACAGATTGTCGAACAGATGCACCAAAAGAAAAAAGAGGAAAAGGTTAGCACCCGAAAATCTAGAACCATCAAAGGTAAAAGAATACAACTGAGAACAGGGAAGCATGAAAGAACCAAACTAAAATTGAAGTAAAATGCAGTAATATATACAAGTTCTAGAGTAATCATTCACACAAAACAAAAACGAGGCACTTCATGCTTATTCGTATGCTGGAAACAAGTCTTAAACCACCAAATGATCAAGGCTGATTACTTCAAGCCTCCACATGATATATCAAAAAATTACCTGACGTCGGAACAGTGAAGAATAATAATAAAAACATTCATAGAGTATCGACATTTTTAGTTCACTATCAAAATTAAAATTGGTGTAACTATTAAATCTAGATCAATCATAACAAAATAAAAGTTGAGTAAATTCCATCCAGTAAGTACCTACTCGCCAGAGGTCAGGCAGGATAAAACACTGAGTGTTATTGGCAGCTATTTATCACATTTAACCAAATGAAATTCTTACAACCCCACATACAAGATCATAGCTTCATTAGATCATGTTCGATCAACCAAATCTCATAAAAGCATACTGATTAAAAACTCCAGCTCTAACAAAGAGCTAAATAAAGGCAATCATATCCTTCCATAAAATCATGGAGCAGTCTCTATGTCCAAGAGGAATAACACTGGACTAACTTTAACACACTTAATCATATCATGTAGTTAGAATTGTAAATGTGAAAGGCATTAATGAAAGAAAGTATAGTTCAAAACTCTTGAAGGGGACAACTTTCATCCGCTCAATATTTCCAGCAAAAAGTCAAGGAAAGGATTAAAAATATATTGTACTCCTACATATGTTACCTTGCTCAAACGGACAGCGGGCAGGATCCTCGCCGAAATATAGTGCAATTGCATCAGCATTTCTGCCCTGTGCATCCATTATGACAATTAAACATTATGTAGGCATATAGGAAGATGACTCTGCAAGATGGTATAACAAAGAGATAATAAAATGCAAAGGAAATTACCGCAACAGAATATAACTCCTTGACAGAACCAACCTCCGCTTCAGCCACACCAACAAATTCCTTCAAGGTCTGATTTACAGGACAAAAGAACAATGTTGTAAGGACCAAAAGTTTTTGTTCTTTTTCCCCCTTTTCTTTGGGGAAGGGAGGGAATGCACTTAATTTTCTACATGATAATAGCACGCATACAGCACATTTTAAGAAAAAACAAAAACAAAACCTTGTATGTTGTTCCATCAACCCTTTTGTTAAAATCAGTGTATTAAAAGGCGTTTTTGGGGGGAGCCCTGGGGCGAGGCGCACCAAAAATGTCCCGAGGCTATGGTGGGGGGCGAAAGTCTAAGGAGACGTACGCCCGGCAATTCGGGGTGTACGGCCGGGTGTTGAGGCGTGTTTTTGCACTGAGGCGTAAGCCCAAGAGACTTTTTCAAATTAAAACAAAATTTGCTGAATAAGTCCTTAATTTAATACCCAAACTCTCAAAAATCAGCTTGTAATTACTCAAAAGTTTTAAAAAGGAACTGAAACATTAAGTTTAAAAGTCAAGATCTTGTTTTATTGCTAGAAGTCCTAATTTAGGGTCTTTCCCAATTCTTTATCTTGTCCGCTAGTCTGCTACTATCTCCTAAAAGCAACGAACACTCAATTTTTTTTTTTGCAAATACAAAGATAACTTCATTCTCCTCTATAGCAGCAAGTTCAAAGTTTAAATTGCAGGTTAGTCATCCTATTTGTTCCTCCATGTAGAAAATTTTATTCTTTTCAACTCAAGTTACTTGTAAGTAGCGTATAATGAATTGTTTTGACTAGTTTTTTTGTGGGGATGGAGCACATCTATATATATTTTTCACTTATTTATAATTTTCTTCAATTTTTATGTAATTTTACCTATTTAAAAATATTACTGTGATTATATTATTTTGTGAAATATTAAAAATTAAATACCCATGGGGCTTACGCCTCGCTGAGGCATACGTAAAACGCCTCGCCTTACGCCCACGCGTTTTAAAACACTAGTTAAAATATATCTTGATTCACAATATATCCATCAGATCAAGAAATAGGGAAGTACTGAATAGAGATGTTAAAACTCGGGTGATACAACAGTTTGATAAAAAACTGAGTGGATCTTTTTCATTAAATTTTTATCACAAGACATTAGGAGGATATTTGAAGTCCTAGATGTGTTGTTCAAGCTAGAAGTAATATCTTAACTTGATGAAGAAAGGAATGCTCTGCGCATCCTAACACCATGTAGAATAGTTGCATACATAAACAAATAAAACTAAGACATAGTTGAACAGAAATACGACCACCATTTTGATAAAAAAAGAAATCATATTACCTTACAAAAAGTTTCAGACACAGGCCCATCAGTCTCAGATGCCTCCAGTTCCTTTTTAACTTTTTCCAAACCCTTGATGATTGCTTGCATTTCTTCAGCCAAAGACTTCAATTGTATCTGCAAGGAGAAAGGATTTCTAACCAATCCTGATAAATTCAAGGATATATCATCATAAAGAGATAAGAGTCTTTATAAGACAGTAACCTTTGATGCAGCTTCCAGGCTTGCAAGATCTACATGAAAGTCTAAAAGTGCTGGTGACTTGGCAGCAAGAACCTGAGAAAGAGAAGAATTACTGTCACCACACTATCTGATATGGTCATAACTGCACCTGAATTCAGGCAGACGATTTAAGGAGGCTTTATCAAATGGAATAGAATTCTCAGGTAGATGAACAATATGTAAAGAAAAAAGAAAAAACTTCTCGGTGAAGTCCGGACAACTAAAAAGGAGGCACCTCATACGAGAGAACAAAACTAAGAATAGTAGAATGGTGATGTTAACCCTTCTTTACAAACAAAAGATGGTCTATAACCAATGTGTAAGAGAAGAGGAGTAACCTTTGAAGTAGTGCCCCTTAATTTGAAAATTTTTGACAATACTGTGATACATAATCAATCTTGCACCAAATAATGCCTAGAACTATAGAGCTTTGGCAAGACTCAGCAAACTATCAGATGATAGCCAAGGATCGTGAAGGTATAGTTTGAGGTTCATATTCCCAAAATATATATCTCAAGAAGAGTTTCTATAGAAAGTTTTATCACACTTGAGCACTTACGTCCCGGAATACAGTGATCTCAGAAACGTTTTTTAGTTTACCTGATAATTTCATTCAGCAGAAAAGAGTTAAATTCATTTATTATCTGTTATCGCCTATTTATATCCTCAGATATCAAAACAAAAGGCACAGGTGTAAAATGGCGAAAAGTAAATGGATGGGCGTGCAGCTACTTGATAAAGAACACAGAAACCTCAAATAGGCCATCATAATAAATATTATGTTCTTTAATAAGAAAGGCCAAATCAAAGGTGCTCCTACTGAAGAAAAATGGACCACAGATAACCAGCTTCGGCACTTTGAATACATTTCATTGGCTTCACACAGGGGAGCTACCTAAAGAGCACGCCTTTTCAGTATGGTAAGTTACTTCAGCGAATGATGCAACGCTGCTTTCATTATTATGAACCAATAAGGTATACATATGTGCAAATACCATTCATAATCCCTGATACAGAAGTCCCTATATCACATCATTAGTTTTTTTTATTACATCCAGGCTCCACAAGAGGACGTACTTTTCATTTCTGGAAAGATGATACCAAATCAAATGCAGACCGTGTCTGACAGAAAACTGGTGAGACGCGTCTTGAACCAAAAAGAGGTTGTCGTTTGACAAGTTAGATTCATTTAACCCCTTGATATTCCTTGCGCCCAGACATTAAACTACGTAACTCCGTCTGTTTCGCAGAGGTCCCATTCTGTAAAGTTATTACTGACTATGAATAAGTATATAGCTAGATATAAAATTTCTCCTTTCTGGTCTTTTATGTGGTGCCAGGTAAACTAAGGACAGTCCACCAATGTAATACTTCATTCTCAGTCCCACATCTACCATGTAAAATACTTGTAACTAAAACAATACATGCATGACATCATTTTCAACTACAGAACCACCATAGAAAGCCCAATAAAATGTATACACGCTAGCAAATATATAACAACTGAGCTTGACCAAAATAGGAAGACCACATCTGCATCAAATTCATCAATCTTCTTGCGCCAGGTTTTTCACGCAGCATTTCTTACTAAGCGATTGGGTTAAAATGACAAAACATTTTCAACCATTGCTAAGAGCAGCTTATAAGTCATTACAGTTTTTCAGACAATCTTTAAGGTCCTCCGAAGATACCTTCTTCCACAGTGCTTTTCAGATAGCAACCAGTTGAAAGGAAAATCAAAAAAAGCATTGGAGAAGATTCAACATCAACAGTGTTTTCATGAGGTGATATTGATGAAAGCATGATCCAAGGGTACCATTTTCAAAGTATAGTAATTGGAAAGAAGACTGAAAATGTTTAAATACACCATTAGAGACAACAAAAATGAAACCGAGGGTACATCCACACCTTACAAAGATAATGCATGAGTGTCATCTTGTTGTTAGTAGCACGTGTATCAGTGAGCTTCAAAAGACTATCCAGCTTAAATCCAACGGCAGAACCTGAATTAAAGAAAGTACAACTTAGTTTGGAATTCTGTATTAAAAACTTCAAATTGCTGGACCACATACATTACGACATCCATAGTATGTGATGAGGTACTTAAGTTCCACCGGAACTATATTATATCTTAAAAAAGCTCCAGTTGGAATAAGAAGCACAATAGATCCAAGAAGATGTGTTAGATACTCCCTCCGTCCCAATTTGTGTTGCATTACTTGACTGGGCACGGAGTTTAAGAAATAAATTAGATTTTGAAACATGTGATCTAAAACAAATCATAGACATTTGTGTGGCAGTAAATCATCTCATTAAGGGTAAAATAGGAAGTTAAAGTTAAATTGTTTCAAAATATGGAAGTATGACATTCTTTTTAAGACAGACTAAAAAGGGAAGTATGACACATAAATTAGGTCCGAGGGAGTACAAAATAGTTGCAACAACATGTTAAGGCACAAAACATTTACTCGCTTTTAAGTAAAGAACATATGCTTGAGTTTTCCAGATTTCCAAAAAGCGAAAATCATCTAGCTCAGGAGCAAAACTATTGAGCAAAATTTGTTAACACTCACTTCCATCAGATAAAACAATTTGCTAATCCTCTAATTGCCTTGGGACAGCTAATCAGGAGGTAACGTAGTCATATATCAATCAAGGGTCCATTTGGTATCCATTTTAGCATTTTTATTCATCATCCACATAAATACTAAATAGTCTAAGCAGAACATTTCTGTATATATTCTGTAACAGTAGTCCGCACATTGATGAATCTCTCAATGTATTTAAACTTTTCATTTGCAAAATTAACAAACTGTAGCACCAATGAATGCATTTAATGACTTGCTTTAATAACTTGTATCCATGACGAGAAAACAACCACTTTAGGGTAAAAGCACGTAACCAACTCATTTCGAAATAGGAAACTCAGAATAAACAATTGAAACCTCTAGTAATGGTATTTCTCCTTGTTTATCTAGTCAAGCAATCATGTACTTAATTTATAAATTGAAAATCTGCAAGCTCCCAGTGGCAGCAATTGAGTTAGTCATACATGATATTCAAACTTTCTAGCATTAGTTCATGGTAAGAAAGCTGAGATTAAGAAGAACTCAAGAGGAATGGAGAAAGTTCAGCTACAGAAAGTCTTACCTCTAGCAGTTCCCTGGTTCAATGTATTCCCTAAATACAATATTTTCTTCAGTATTTCCTTCAATTTGAGAGAATATCGGACCTGCTACAAGCACTGAGTTATACTAAGATAAATAGGAAAAGACAAGAAGAGAAATACAGAACCTAAAGTACCTCTTCGCAAGCAGAGTTCACAGTGTTTAAACTTTTTTTGAAGTCCTTGACCTGAGATAAAGCTAATCTGAGATCATACAGATGATACCTGCTTCAAAAGATTACTAGATGCAAACAAACCTGAGAGTTGAACTGGATCTTGAAGAGAAAAACTCTTAGTTTTGACTCTACTCGAGGCACCTTCATCAGCTCCAGAAAAAACTGAAATAAACAATATCAGATTTACCACCGATGCATTGAGATTCAGAAATATGGTATCATATTACCCTAGAAATCAGTTGTTCTTTCAATCTTAAAGAGCCAGCAAAGCAGGGAAAAGACACCATAGGTACAAAAATTTTCTGAAAATGATAATGGAACTTGCAAATCTATCATCAAGCAAACCAACAACAACAACAACCCACCCCACAAGTGGGGTCTGGGTAGGATAGGACGTACACAGCCTTACCCCTACCCCTACCCTGGAAAGGCAGAGAGACTGTTTCCAATAGACCCTCAGCTAAAGAAAGGATGGAAGAAGCACCGATAGCAAATAATAGCAAATAGCAAGACAAGATATTTAGAAAACTAAATCCAAGATAGCAAGAGAATGTGAAAGAAGTACCGATAGCAAGTAATAACAAAACAAGATATGTAGTGATAGCAAACTAAGAGAGTACTGATGGCAAGTAATAACATCACAAGATATGCGGTAATAGCAAGCTAAGGATAAAAGGGGTACCATACTAACACTAATACTATCGAAATAAGGAAGACAAAGGGAAACGCTCGACTAACTACTAACCTTCTACCCTAATCCTCAATCTCCACACCCCCGTCAAGGGTCATGTCCTCGGTTAGCTCAAGCTGCGCCATGTCCGGCCTGATCACCTCTCCCCAAGACTTCTTTGACTTACCTCTACCCTTCCTCTAACCCCCAAGGCCAACCTCTCACACCTCCTGACTGAGGCATTCCTTTTAACATGCCTGAACCATCCCGAACCAACAGCACTCAAAAATATTCTACAGCTAGACGACAATAATATAACAGGGTACAAGTCATTATCATGAATACCTGACACGTGCAAGCCTCTCAAATTAGTTCCCTGAGACACTGAATATCAAAAATGCCATCACTTCTCACCCTGGAATAGTACAGGGTATCGTGATAATCCGGATAGAAGCCAAATTTAGCTTGTGTTTCATTTGTTTGGTATGTTTCGCAAATTTTGGTTCTTGTGGTGGTTCTTTTACATGTCAGACAGAAAACCACCTATTTGTAATTAAATATTAATATAAGCATAACATAAAGTGGCACAGTGATAAACAGGTGATATCGACAGAGAGGTACAAGGTTGAGACTATGTAAAAGCAATTTTATTCCTTCTTTCTTCTCCTATTTCTTCAACATTGTTTAGAAACCTTTCTTTTGTTCTTCACATGGTCGAGGATGTTGCTAAATTTTTTCAGATCAGCCAATCCATTTTCGCTTTATTCCTTAGTTCTTTCCCTTCTTATCCAACTACTCATAATCCAGGCAACCAATTACATCAACGTTGTCAGACCTTTTCTCATCTTACATCCCCCATCCGCCTCTTTATCAACATTGACATGCTCCTATATTCTCCCTTCTATCCCCC